CGATCCGATTAATATCCGTTTACACCCCTAGTTTTACCCCATGAATTTGTGCCCTAATTTGTACATCACATGTGTGCACCTTTATTTTGTATCAGTGTAATGCTAGGGTGATAGTTAACACATATACAAAATATTGGTACAAATTTTTGTTAACGCACTAGCATTTTGTGTTAGTGTGAACCATTAAAATGTTAGTATATATTATTAGTGTAATTTTGGGGTATACTTTTTGGTGTAATTGTAACATGGTTGTTTTTCATATCCCATAATGCGAGTAATTAAATTAGAAAATTACTCTCATCCTTTGTTGAAATAATTTCCAAATCCTTCTGTTTTTAAGAAGACAGAAAAGATCTTTAAATTTTATTGTAATTGTTTGGGAGGGACACGACATTTCGTCCACTAATCTACTATACTCCCTACGTGTTCCAAATTGTTCGAGACATTTTAAAAGACATGCAAAATATCATTTTTTAAATTCTTTTACAAATTGGTAAAGAAATAAAAAATAAAAATTACATTGTTCAAAAGTACATCAAAACTTTTACAAAACGAGATGCGATAATAATATTTTATTTCATCAAATGGTCAACTAAAATGTGAATGTTATAATTACATTGAACCAATATGTGAAAATGAGTATTACATTATTCAAAAATGAGTACTACGTTATTTAAGAATGTGTACTACGTTATTTCAAGTGAACACTTATGTTTGTGCGAGAATGAATACTACTTTAATTCAAAATGAGTAATATCCGACTGTACCTTATTTATGGTACAATCAGTTGTACCATTTATAGACTCTGACATGGTGAGAGTTTTATCTAATGTGATAATAGAAATCATCCTAAATAAGACTAAAACATAGAGAAAAGCACCAAAATAGGACTTTCATGTTTTTTTCCCAGAATAGGATTTTGCACTGTGGTAATGTGACTTTGCATTGTGGTAATGTAGTAGTGTACATGTGCAAATTACTATACTTTTTTGGTAATGTAAGTCTTATTTCGAGAATAAAAACACGGAAGTCCTATTTTGGTATATTTTCAATGTTTTAGTCCTAGTTTGATCTTTCTCCCATGTGATAACTCCCGCATCAAACCCAAATCAATCTCTCTTAAAGACAGACCAAGATTATACAATGATTTATACTCTTATTATTCTGTCGAATCATTCCATTTTTTTATTTTGTTGAATAGTGGTACACCTGTACTCGATTTGTATTAACTAAGCCGAGAGATAATTAATTAGAGGAATTTACGTAAATAGCATTAAAACATAATGACTTCCCCTAAATAGCGTCACATGTGCTTTTTTTCTTCTAATGTAGCACTTTGTCATTATCCATTAGTCATTATTCAAGTAAATATTCGTCATCACTGGACATTATTAAGTGTTATTTAAGTAATAAAACAGTTTAAGTGCTATTTAGAGAAATACTTTAAGTTTTAGTGTTATTTAGTGCAAATATTTCAATTTTTTTAATTATACTAAATTATCTTTCCAAATTTCAAATGCATGTTTCATTCTTTATTGGCCGTTAGTCTGTGATTGAAGCTCTATTTCTTTCTTCCACTTAGAAGGTCATCCCAAATATAATATGAGAGGAATCGACTCCAGTCAGATGACATCTTACGATAAGATGACATGCTACGGTAAGACGACGCAAAACTCACTACTGCCAACTATAAAGCTCACCTACACCAACTGCAAAACTCATCCACACCAACTGCAAAGCTCACCTTTTTTTCACTGTTTGTTTAAAAAAAACAAAATCAAAGGAAGAGATGCTGACTAGATTTTGATTGTTTTTAATTTTAAAATCTAAAAAAATAAAAAATTTTGATGTTCAAAGTTGCGACTTCTACTTTATTTCTATGTGATCTTTGCATTGGCCATTGGTCTAATGTAGTGAGCTTGACGTCATCTGGCTGGAGTCGATCCTTATAATGAAACTCTTTTTTTTTGTTGAATAGTGAAACAATAGATTGCATACCTTCCACTCGATCCGACAAGGAAGCGACATTAAGCCGCCACATGTTCTCGGCAATCGGCAGCAGGCATGCTCCCCATCTTCCCCACGCATACCTTACCATACGTAGCTGATCCGATCGGCGATTCGGCAAAGTACTCATTTAAGTAACATTAAATTTTAATTTTGGCCCAAGTAGACTTGGGGCATTTTTTTAATTAGAATTTTGTCTTATGTTTATAAAATACTTTTTGATTTTGTTTGAAGAACTTTGAACTAAAAGTTTGTTACGTTTAGAAAAAACTGTGTCCCGTAAAGTACGTTACATTTTTATTAAAAAACCACTTTTACCCCTTACTTTTTCATATCCTACCTATCACATCATACCTTTTTTCTAATAATCTACCCATCGCATCCTACTTTTACCCATCACATCAAGGGTATTTTTGGAAAGTCAATACCAAAATATCCCTTTCTTAATTTTCCAAAAAGTCAAACCGTCCCATTCTTTTTGGGACGGAGGGAGTACAATACTTAACATTAAACTAAAATCATTCAAATAATAATACAACGTACAGTATTGTATTCGTCTCTGAATATATACTTATCCAGTTTTGATTTTTTGATTAAAAAATGATGAAGCTTGATCATAATTAAAGAGAATTGATATTATATATTGATACAAAAAACAATATTATTAGATTTGTTTCATATAATATCTTCAAAATAGTGTTGTAAGGTCTAGCTAGATTTGTTTTATATAGTATTTTCAAACTAGTGCATGGTAAACTACATACATTTATGACTAATTTTGCAAATTTCCACTATTTTCACTTTGTGTGCTATATACTCCATTGTATATATATTCTAGTTTATTTTTGGTCTAGTGATTTTATAGATCAAAGATGCAACTCGTGTATTAATTAAAGTTGCTTTCCGGCCTCTACACAAAAAAATAAAAATAAAATAAAAACAATGTAATATGGATAAATAAGTTTGCCTCCTCCACGTAGCATGCTATCATAGGTGTTGTGAAGCAATGGAGCAGTTTGTTTATAAATTATAATTATGTCTCCATTTTGCTATGCTACCATCTACATTACTTCACTAGTACTTTGGTCTCATATTTTGTGTCCAACATAATTTGATGATGTTTTGTTTTTATTAATTAGTATGACATGCATGATATAAGTTTCAAGATTTTCAAAAAAATTACTGCGTATTTGGATTCTGAAATCTGAAGTGAAATTGTTTGGAAAACATTTAAATCATGATTAGATTAGCTAGTCATAGCGCGGAGGCCGACAACGAGGGTATGTAAGTGGGAGTGAGAGTGGTAAGCGGAGATTGACCGTTGGTTGAAGGAAATACCAAACCTTCTTAATTATATGATATCTCTCAAATTCGAGAGATGTCAAAACCCCTCATTTGAATGGTTTGTGAAATCTGATAATATCAAGTCTGGAGTACTTTTATGCTTTACCAAATTGATAGATTTGTGAATCTATGGGTATAAAGAATGAGGAAAGCATATGAATTGAAAGAAGAAGATGATAAATAGTGTGTGTTGTGTGTGTATTCAGCATGCCCCCCTCCTCCAAGAAGAGGGTACGGTACACATAGGAATTAGGATAAGGGTTTGGGTTCCTATACAAAAACTAATGGGCCGGCCCAACAGATTGGGTCGCCCCTAAATAAGTAATCAATATATGACGAACAGGCTGGTCCAACAGACTGGACCGCTCCGACTAATATTATACAAACATCAGATACCCCATGTTCAGGGTATCCATCATGAGTTCTCTACTTCCCGCGTCGAGAGGCACTCGAGGTGAAGTGGAAGTAGAACAATAATCCATCATGGAAGGACACCGACTTTCTTGCTGTCTAGAGTGCACTACCAACTTGTTGTCTAGAGTACGTACACTCCCAACTTGCTCTCCCGAGTATGGTGAAGTAATACAAACCGCGCCATCTCTGAAACTTGTAATGCCAATTGCCAATTAACTATGTCCCCGAAGTGACGAGGTGAAAGAAATCGCACCAATCAACTCATTGCCCGCACTATGATTATATTAGATTAGCTAGTCATAGTGTGGTGGCCGACAACGAGGGTAATTGGGAGTGACAGTGGTAAGCGATGATGGAGAATTGGTAGTATTATCATAGTGTAAGTGTAGTATCCACTGTATTTTTAATTCAATTTATTTAATTATAAATGAAAATTTAAAAAAATTATATTAAAAAAAAACTTAAAAAGTTTTTCAAAACAATAATTGACATGATTATTTTATATTTTATAATGAGTAGTAAAAATACACAAATAAGGTGAATGAAGTTAGATTACCCACCCATCGTCCCTCGTCACTCGCGACCTGCCCATGAACCCTGTCCAACTGCTCCCGTCCCCGCCCCCATCCATCTTGAATCGCGTTGCCTCCCATGCTACCAAAATACTCTCTATTACTCTTTTCATCCTTAAGAGATTACCACGGTTTGACTTTTTTTTATATCAAACTGTGATACTATTTGACCACGAATTAAATATATTTTAAATAATTAAATATTGTAAAAATTTAATATATCAAAATAATATTCTAAAAAAACATAATTGTACTAAATCTGCATTTTAACTAAATATAATTTTTTCATAATTTGAGGTCATGGATGTCACAGTTTGACAAAAAAATCAATCTGTCTCAATCTTTTAGGGACGGAGGGAGTATTTAATTGTTAAAAAACATATTTTTTCAGTACTAATGTTCAAATATCAACAATGAAAAATAATTTTTTTTAAAAAAAATATTTTCTTTCCTATCAAATAACGAAAAATATAATTGGAAAATAATTTTCCTTAAAATCATTTCCCCTCGAAAAATATTCTTCTACGAAAATATTTTTTCCTAACCAAACACACCATAAAAGTATGGAGTAGAAGGAGTGATTGTTAGAAGAACAAAAAGTGATGAAGGGCGATGATCTAAGTATTCATTATGTCTGCTGCAATCACTGTTCCAATTGGTTGCCTCACAATAAGCATGCAAACCAGCCCCCACTTCTTCACCTTCCATTAATCTCCTCTGATCTATCCTATCTCATCTCTTCTTCAACTCCCCTGTCATGTATAAATACTCCTTCCCCATCTTCCTGCTTCATCAAAAAACCCAATACTCTCTCATTTTATACAAACACACATATACAAACATGGCTGCTTCCGGGTTTGAAGGGTTCGAGAAGAGGCTGGAGCTACACTTCTCCGTCGACGATCCGGTGGCCGCTACCGGAGGGCTCCGGAGGCTGAGCTTCGAGGCGTTGGGGGAGGTGCTGTGTGCGGTGCAGTGCACTGTGGTCGCCGCGGTGGGGAACCAGTACTTTGACTCCTACGTTCTTTCCGAGTCGAGTCTCTTTGTCTACCCCACCAAGATCATCATCAAGACGTGCGGGACCACCCAGCTGCTGAAATCCGTCCGTCCGATGACCTATTTCGCAGCGAGGGTGGGCCTCACATTGTCCCAATGTAGGTATACTAGGGGAAACTTTATTTTCCCCAAAGCCCAACCTTACCCTCACACAAGCTTCAATGATGAGGTCATGTACTTGGAAGATGAATTGCCTAGCCATCTTTGCTATAGGAAGGCCTCAATCTTGCCATCAACGTCCACCGCACATTCGTGGCACGTTTTCTGTGCCACGAATGACTGGACCAGCATGGGGATGGAACAATCGGACTCGAGTAACGTAGTGTTGGTTGAAGTTTGCATGACTGAGCTTGACCGTGCGCTGGCCTGCAAGTTCTTTGCAAGAGCTGACACATTGGGGAAGGACATGACGAATGCGAGTGGCATTCGTCACATCAACCCCAACGCTGTCGTGTGCGACTTCGCGTTCCACCCGTGCGGGTACTCTATGAACGGCATCGAAAACGACCGCTACTCCACCATCCACGTGACGCCCGAGGACGGATTCAGCTACGCGAGCTTCGAGTGCGTGTGGGACCCGCGCGACGGCGACATTGCCCGAGTCCTGGAGAAGGCGGCGCGGGTCTTTCGGCCTGGGGTGATGTCGGTGGCGATCACGTGCAATGGCGGAAACAACGAAGCGTGGAACGCGGTGGCCAAAGCCGTGGAGGGCGGCCTCGGGATGAAGTGCCGGAGTTGCGTGGCGGACGAGTTTCCGGCGGCCGGGAAAGTGACGTTTCAAACGTACGTGGCTCGCCGGAAGTGAGGCGTGCATGTGCATGGCATGCAGACATGTGATGGAATATTATATGATGGGAAAATGTGCGCGAGGCTTATTCCTTCATCATGATGTATAATGATATGATGCATCCCATTTGCAATATATACTCCATAAATGTTTTGTCACGCCTGCAGTTTTTGAGGTTTGCAAATTGATTAATATTGTTTTTTTTTTCTGTTACTATTATTATTGTTATTAATTATTATTATTATTTGTAGTGGTGACTGGTAACTCTATAGCTCGAAACAAGTCATCATCGAGTGGACTTTAGTTTCCATGTTTCTATGTTTCAACCATAAAGGATTATATTTGTAAGTCTTGTCTTACGGAGTATAGATTTAGTGAAACCATCCCTCACATAAAACTTTTAAACTTGAGAAATTTGCCTAAATAGGACTAAAACATAATGATTTTTACTTTACTATTTTTCATGTTTCATGAAACATTTTAAGTTTGAGTAAAATGGACACATTGTCCTTGCTTTTCTTAATTCTAACCAAACAAGGCAAACATATTATACCTCAACTATCTTCTATGCTTTATCCATTTTGACGTTTATCGTAGCCAACTTGTTTCAATTCTCATCGTTTCACCTACGTCAAACTTATATAATTTTCCATCTCAAAAGTCAAAATTGAAAAATTTTCTCCGGACGGATGGAGTACTAAATATTACTCCCTCCGTCCCTAAATAAACTTCCGTTTTTGACTTTTTGAGGATTTAAGGGAGGGATATTTTTGTGTTGACTTTCCAAAAATACCCTTGATGTGATGTGCAAAAGTAAGATGTGATATGTAGATTATTAGTAAAAAGGTATGATGTGATAGGTAGGGTATGAAAAAGTAAGGGGTAAAAGAGGTTTTTAAGGGAAAAGAGAAGTTTATTTAGGGACAAAGAAAAAACGAAAGAGGAACTTTATTTAGGGACGGAGGGAGTACTAAAACTTATGTTTTTCTCTATGTAGTACTCCCTCCGTCCACAAATAAACTTTACGTTCACTATTCACATGGTCAAACTTTATTCACTTTGTTGGCCTATTTTCGTCACCCATTTGATAAAATAATATAGTCATGTTATCTCTAGTTTTGTAGATCTTTTGATATAGTTTTTTAATATGTAATTTTTATTTTTCAATTCTGCGCCATTTTTCATATAAAATGATTTGAAAAAAACTCCAGTCAAACATCGTAACGCGCAATATAAAGTTTATTTGTGGACGGAGAGAGTATTTAAACTTGTTTCAATTGTCATCGTTTCGCCTATGTGAAGTAGTTTGGTTAATTTGTATACTTTTGCTTAGCACTCGGTAGTCAAGTGAGAGTTGATTAAATTTATGGGAAATTTATCTATATAGTTTTAAAACATAATTAGTTTCCCAATGTAGTATCATATATATTTTAATTTTTTTCAATTTAGTACTATTATTCAATGTCTATTGGACAATAATCAAATCAAATTGAAAAAAAAATTAAGCTTTAATTATTCTCAATTTGTATTATATTTTAGTACAATAAAATAAAATTTATCTAATAAAATCATTTTTATATTAATAAAGTTATAATTTTTGTTAAGTTGAAGTTCAAAATTTATCTAGTTTGATTCGAAAAAATCAAACTAGACAAATAATTTTGAAATAAATAAACGTTAAAAATAATACTCCCTCCGTCCTAAAACTTTCTTCCCAGAGCACTATTCCAACTTCAGGGAATTTATATTTATTTGTGTTTTTTCATGGCCTATATGATAAAATAAAATATTCTTGTCACCACTTGTTTTGTTGAACTTTTGATGTAGTTTTTAAATATGTATGTTTTATTTTTTATTTCTATATCAATATTTAAATAAAATAGATTGAAAAAACTTGGGATTTTTCTTCGTTTTGCGAACCGGGAAGAAAGTTTTAGGACGGAGGGAGTAAAATTTAACTATGAAAATTCAAACAAATTTTTTTTGTTTGAACTTTAGGCCCAATGGGCCCAATACGTTCAACCCAAAGACGAGTTTTGAGAAGATATAAATAATGATGATGATATGATGGACTAAGGTAGAGCGGCTCTCAATCCAAACTTGAACGATCTTGGGCCGGCCAAACACGTTGCTCCGCCCCTACTACTTCACATAAAAAATATTCTAAGAGAATATTCATTTAGTTTTAATTTTTTTGGTAATATAAATTATAATTTATATTTAAATGAACGAAATGGGACTGAGGTAGTACTTTATTTTAAATTCAAGTCTAGTTTCTGAGCTCCATTATGTGGGTGTTTTCCAGTGTTTATAAGGTGATCAAAACTGTTTATAAAATACTAGTTTTTAACTTATAAATCGGCAGATAACATGTTTTTATGTGCTTATAAACTTATTTAACAGCTGCTACAAGTCAGAAAAAATAAATAAGTCTTAGCTACTTATTTTTAAGCCAGTTTTTTGTTTCTATTTTGATCAAATTATTTACAAAACTGTTCATCACCATTAATGAATATTTACAAATTATTTATCCATCATTTAAGTCATTTTATTTCCATGAATAAATATTTGACTTATAAACAGCTTATAAGTTTAAAATTGTTTATTAGTAATAAGTAAATAAGCAACACCACAGAGAAGCACTCCCTATGTTAATGAATACGAATTCATCTTGGATACTTTTTTAGAATCATTAGATAAAACCAAAAAATAAAAATAAAAATACCTCATGGATATTCCATTAATCTGATCCAAAATTTTGAATATAATAAGACTGTTTTCTTGAACATATTCTTAATATCTTTAAAAAGATGTTTATAGAGAGTTCTTAAATAAAATACAATTGCTTCACTAAGCAACTCTGTTGATAAATGAAACAACTCGTTGCTCCCATGTGCTCCGCATAAGTTTTTTAAATTTAAGCAACTCATTAAACATCTTGCACTGATGAAGATGCTCTTAGTTATTACCTAACTACATCAAATTGTATAATAATTGAAGTAATTTGAGAATGAAAAAATAAAGTCTTAGCTTGGGATTATGCATGAAAGGCCCCAAATCTTTGGTAGTCAGGACACATCCAACATACAATAATAATAAAGCATTCAATAATAATGGTCAATTGGTCATTGATTGCCATTTTTTCACACAATAAAATCTTAAACTCAACTAAATTTAACCAATGAACAACCCTTGCACTATCATTTTTTTTGGAGTGCATTCCAAATTTATGTCAACCGCACCCACGCCATGCTCAAGTCACGCTATCGTCACTCGAGATGTTATGGAAAATGTTGTATAAAGGAAAAGTTTGTCTTATGACCTTAAGTATAGGAATATTGTACATTCATTCAAAATTATTAGCGATTGATACAATTTGGTAATAATTAATCTTATTGAATATTGAAGGATACATTCTTATTTATATGGATTACACGAGAGAATTCTAATCAGAGTAGAAGAACAACTATGATATCAATACAATTAGGGATGACAACAGGTCGGGTTCGGTCGAGTTTGAGTATATTGAAACCCGACCTAACTTGGGTCGGGTTCGATCGAGTTTGAGTATATTGAAACCCGACCTAACTTAGGTCGGGTTCGAGTTTGATTTTGACGGGTCGGTTTTGGATATTTATTTTTTCGGTTTGAATTCGGTTTAAAATTCGGTTGGGTCAGTTACGGTCAATTTCGGGTTTGAATACTAATTAAAGTATTCATGAAAAATTTAAGATTGAAATGCATTAGAAATTAAAAATTTTTAAGATGATATAAAATTTAAGATATTAACAAAAATAATTATAACTTAATAACCCTTAAAGATGTCAAAGTACTCTTGTGTTGTTCTGCATGCGCAGGAAAAGGGAGCGGTTGCGGATTTCTGGTCTAGGAAGGCAAAATAGGAGCGAACGAAGGCGTTTTGGGCACATGTCTTTTCGGGGCAGAAATGGCACTGGGTGAAACTAGAGAGATCAAACGGCATCCGTCCGATCCTGTTGGGGGCGACGTCAGACTAGAAATCCGCAATCGCTCCGTCTTTCCGCGCGTGTGGAACAAACAATATTAAGTTTCAATTAATAATATATGGAGTACAATGAAAATAGCACATGTGGGACACACAATATTAAACCAAAATAAAAAATGAAACACAAAAAATGCAATAAGTTTTAAAACATTAAAAATATGTGCATAAAAAATACATGGAATATAGGAATTTAGAGTTTTTAAAAACGTATTGAAAGTCGGATACATGTCGGGTCAGGTACAGATCGGGTCGGTCAAATATACTAACCCAAACCCAACCCGACAAAAGTCGGGTTCGGTTTAATTTTTTTCAGGTTGGTTTCGGGTATTTAATTTTTCAGTCGGGTTGGTAAAAGTCGGATTTGGATAGAATTGTCACCCCTAAATACAATAAGGAAAACAATATGATAAGGAAAGTAATTAAATATAATATTCTTTTCCAATTATCTAATATTCCTAATACCCTGCAAGCTCATCATGAGTAACAAGGAATAGCTTGGAGCACATGTACTGGAATTGAGCTAGCATGAGCAATTTTTGTGAGGATAGTCTCTAGAAGTAGAGAGTCAAATCTTTGTTGCATGACGAACGACTTTGAAATTACGTTTGTTGAGTTTTTCCAGTGAGAGTGTTAGCGATTAGAGCGAGAGCTTTCCATGTTCTCGATCTCTAAAAAAACAAAGACAAATGTAATATTTATGTTCTTCAATCACACACATAATTTCTCTGAAGAGAGAGATAATATCTATTTTTGGAAAGAAAGAGGGGGATAATAGACGGCAACAGTTAGGCACACTCGTCAAGATCGGTCAGTGACGTCATACTGTCAGATGATCGACCGCGTGAGCAAAGACCTGTCTAAAAGAAGAGTCTAGGTTTTAGAAACATTAGCTCCAATATTATGATATAATTTGATAATAATTGGTCTTATTGAACATTGAAGAATACATCCTTATTTATAGGGATTAAATGAGAGAATTCTAAACATAGCAGGAGAACAACTATGATAACAATATAATAAGGAAAGCAATATGATAAGGAAAGTAATTTAATACTATAATATTTATTTCCTATAATCTAATATCGGTCCGGTTCCAGTGACACAGGAGAACGGTGCCACTAGAACCGGGCCGATCTAA